ACAGTGGTAAAAATGGACTTGTCCCAACTGTTTTGGGATTTGTTGACGCCATGAAATTTGGAAACAACAGATTTTTCCCTTAAAAAGATACATTCTCTCAGTTTAAACTTTTGATCTGTGATTTGTGTTCTATTCTGAATAAAATATTAGATGTTGGCACCTCCACATCATTGCATTCAATTTTTATTCACAATTTGTTTAGTGTCCCAACTTTTTGGGAATCTGGTTTGTATTGTATATTAATATTGTTTAGCGTATAGCTTAGATCCTTGTATACAGTTTCTTTTTTTTTATAGTTTATATTGTTGCTATTTTTGGGTGTAACTGGGACCTTGAGTACACAATTTCGTTCCACCTCACCACATGTGATGAGTGACATTAAAGAACCTTGAACAAAGCTAAATGTAAATGGCTTGAACTCTGCTATTTTTACACATGTAGAGCTGAAATTTAGCGTGGTTAGCTGAAAACGTTCCCCATCACATACTGAATCCAAATTTAAAATCAAAGATGGCCACCATAGCTTAAAATAAAAAAGTAACTATAACTCGTTGATGCTTTTTACCATATGGAGCAGAAATTTGGTGTACTGGTAGCTGAGTGAACCCCTGCACATAGTACTGTCAAATCAAAATGTTTTAAATGGCTGCATGTGGCAGTCCTCATCAAAGTTTTTCCAGGAACTTTCTAGGTTTTTTAATTGTAATTTAAAAATGCATATAATCACTAATCGTATGCTCAACTTCACAAAGTCAAAGTAAGACGTATTTAGACGCATGTGCAGCTTTGAATAAAAACATAAAACAAGCTCTGCAACTCTGTCCTTTTGGTTTTTATATCTTACTTTTTATCAAATGTAACTTGTACAAGGTTTAAAAACATGTTAATGTCTAATGTTGCTTTTATCAATTTAGATCATATTTATTTGGCAAACTTTGCACCAAACATTTGTAACCATTACGTTCGGTATACCAAACGTGTTCACAGCAGAAGGTGTTTCAGGGCACTAGAAAGAAAAAATATTCTGTTCAATCCATTTTAATACAGTCCAGTTTGATCCAACTTTAATCCTGTTCAATTTAGTAATTTTAGATTTAGTTTATTTGTATTTGAGTAGTAATTAAAAAAATAGTAGAATAAAAAGTCTGTTTTGTGGCCTATGATCATCTCTTTGACTCGATTCCTCCTCCTGAGCGTTCATTCGTGAACCGTAGGTGCACACCTGATCTAAACCGTAGGTACCGTGTGAAAAAGGGAAAAATTTATTTTTGTCTCCCAGAAATCGACAATGAGGGAGTGATCGAGCCGGACCTGGAAGAACCGCAGGAAATGGGCGAATTTGAAAACGCTGAGGTGAAATGTTAAATTTTTTTTGTTTTTGTTAAACGAGTGAAATTCACAAAGATTAAAGACTTGACCGATAAACCGTAACAAAAAGAAGTGTCATTGCTTTGAATGTGTGGGATGATAACTGTCCTCAGGTCACAGAAGAGATGATGGATCAGGCCAGCGAGAAGAAGGTCGAGGCCATCAATGCTCTTGGAGAAGGTGGGTCTTAGGCCTGTCACAATAACTAATTTTGCTGGGCGATTAATTGTTTCAGAAATTATTGCGATAAACGATATTATTTGAAATTTGACAATAATTAGTAATTATTGTCAAATTTAAGAAGAAATGTTGGTTAATTTGTTTTGAGTGTAGTACCTTTTTTGACCACTGAATGGCAGTATAAGACTGTTTGAACTGAAGGATGGATAGTGAGGGAGCGAGCAGTGTGTCGCTTTAAGAAAAATGGGAGGGAGGCCCATTGACATGACATGGGCTGTCTCTTGGGTTCTCAAAATGGTGGATGCTCGGTGTGGTTTGAGCTCTTCAGCATAGCCTTTTCACACAAACAAAAATCAGTAAACAAGTTCTCAGCTTCTTTTTGCAGAGAAAAACAACTTTTTACACAAAGGCACGGGCTTCAACAGTGAATTTTTGGCGTTTTGACAAGACGGAGGTTTTTTTCCCCCGAGGTCGGCCTGTTAGCTTAGCTCGTAGCTTAGCTTCTCATCTTAGCTGCTTTTAAAAGTTTTAATGATCCAAAAATGCAATTTTGGACAGTTGAAACGGATTTTAAAGAGAAAGGGAGGGTCAGTGAAGAGCACCGGAGTTGAGCTTTTTCTCATCCAGTGTCTTCAGTAGAAAGAGAGACACAAAGAAACAATAAAGCCGATAAATGAAAATGAGGTTGATACATTTTCATTTATCATGCGATTAATTGATTTATTGTTTATCGCACAGGCCTAGTGGGTCTCACACAGACCTGATCCTGAATTAAAAAGAAATTTAAAAGAGATCTTTTTTTTTTTTTTTTTCCCTATCTCAATTTGCTTCTGTTCTCCTCCAGGCGATCTGCAGAAAGCTCTGGATCTTTTTACTGAAGCCATCAGGCTGAACCCCTGCGTTGCCATCCTTTATGCCAAGAGGGCCAGGTGAGAAAGCGGCGCGTCGTTCGCTCTGCTGCTCAGTACTTGGTGTTGGTTCTGAGTGAAGGACGCTGCGCTCTTTGTGTTAGTGTCTTCATCAAGATGCAGAAGCCCAACGCAGCCATCAGAGACTGTGACAGAGCCATCAGCATCAACCCCGACTCTGCGCAGCCCTACAAGTGGAGGGGAAAAGCTCACAGGTACGAAACAGAGAGGCTGATGTTTGGACCCGAGTTCAGCATTTACACACATGACGCAACCAAACATCTGTCATCAAATTAAAAAAACCAATGAGATTAAATCTGGGTTATAATTTCTCTCAAAAAAACAAAAAACTTCACTTTATTTTTAATATTTGTTCCTAATGTACAGTTAACATGTAAGAAAAGTTACTGGAGGGCCAACGTGTGTCCATATTGAAACTCGATGTCATGAGCAGTCATAATTGGCTGTGTCTTTGTTTGTCTGTTAGCAAAATATCTCATGAACCACTGGGCGGACTAATGAAACTCGCGGAACGTAATCAAAGGATACACCTACAAATTCAAGATGGCAGCTGCAGCGGACCGACCTTAGCCAAAACAAAACGTCTAACTCTGTGAACTTCACAGATTTTCTGCTGAAATCTGGTGTGGTAGTAGCTGAGAGTTCTCCCCAACACTCAGTGTGAGCGCAAACAGATTATACGAGATCTTTGTATGAAAGTTTGGTGTGCAAGCCTCGGAGCGGTTTGCTTTCCTTCAAGCAATGCTAGTTTCTTGCTTGTTCTGGGTTTTACCAAATTTTACATAAAAATCAGTTTTAAATTTTAATTTAAGGTGTGAAATATGTCTAAAAACTGAGTAGATATAGCTATTAAGTTATGTTGGTATATAAATATAATTAAATGTATGAATGTTTTGTGTTCACAAATTTTAAAGGACATCCAAAGATGGGTTTGGCTCAAACTTACTGGTGCTGCTGATTTGAAACTCACTCATTTTGATATTTTTATTGCTGTATGTGAATTTATGAGGGGAATTGTTAATATTTTTTTTAAATAAATAAAAAGTCCAATATAAATGTGGCATGGAATAAATGAAATAAATCTTAATTTATACTAGAGTTACAGTTTTAAAATGTAAAAAAAAAAACTAAATTTACTTAAACGAGGATGACACGATGATCTACTTTATCAGCAAGTTGGGTTTTTTTCTGTTCCAACACAAACTTTCATTGCTTTGTGTAATGTTGCTCTCTACAGTTTGTAAATGGCTAAATAAATAAAAATTAAATAAATAATAAATGAAAATGACACTGACAATATGCAACATAACATATAACCAAACTTTTGAAGTAATTTCTAACAAAAAATAATTTTTAAAAGGAGATGAATGTATTTTGTAAAAACGCAGTGCGAATACTGAGAGCTGAATGACAGCTGAAGAAGCTGAAACTGAGGTGTTGAAGCTTAAAAAAAAAGCAGAACAATAGCTGAAAGAAGCAAATGGTAAGCAAACGTAGCCAAAAGGCTAGCTAAATTTAGCATAAGGTTAGCCAATTTAGCAGAACAGTAGCTAAAAATAGCATAGGGCTAGTCAAAATAGCAG